TGGTGTTGCAGATAGTCGCAGCGTCCTATTAGCTCAGCTGGTTAGAGCGTCGTGCTAATAACGCGAAGGTCGCAGGTTCGAGACCTGCATGGGCCATCCTTATTTTGCTTTTCTTTTTTTGTTTTTTTTTGAAAGAAAATTCTAAGAAATCAAGAACTCCCTTGGAAGAGCATAAACGCATCCCCAAAATCAAGAACTCTGAACTGATCGCCTTAATTTAATGCCATTGGAAACCTTATATGATTATTTTACTCACACACTCAATGAGAAAGGGGGAAAAAAGAAAAGTCCCCATCAAAATTTCCGCCTAAAAACCACAACCTTCCGTTCAAGGCTCTCTCTCTCCCTTCTTTGCTCAGTTGAATTGTGTGCGATAGATAGGGGATAGAGAGAGATACACTCCAATGGCGGATCCTTCCCCTCAATCCCCCAGCTTTATCCCCTCTCCTCCTCCTCTCCTCCTTCACTCTCCGCCGCCGCCGCAAGTGGAGACCTCGGAGCTACCGCCGCCTCCGCCGTCATCCTCCGCCTTCCCCTTCCCCAAGGGCCTTACCCGACCGAAGCTCCGCGTCACCTCGGAATTCGACAGCGACAGCCTCGTCTTCTTCCACAAAGTCTCCTGCAAGCTCTTCGACAACCTCGGCAAGCTCAAGGTCTCCTTCCAGAACAACGCTCAGCGCCAGGTCTCGCAGCCCCAGGTCTCTTTTATCTCCAAGTACCTCTCCGTCCTCTACGATCTCGAGGAGCAGAACACTTTCCTCAGGAGCACCGTCGACATTGGCCCTCGCCTTCAGCTCCGTGCTCTTCATAATGTCAAGGTTCCTTTTTGCTCTCTTAGATTTCAAATCGATTCGATTCTCTGGCTGCTTTGCTTAATTCGTTCTCCAGTAGCATCTTCTAATTCTCGGCTAGCTCATTTCGTTGCAATCGTTTGACGACAGCATCAATCGATTGCTACGTAGATCACGAAACTGGTTAGACCCAGGGTTCAGATGGAGGACGAGGAGTTCATATTTCGAAACTCCGGTATGCTATGAGCAATGGGTATCTCTGCAAAACTATTAGTACAACAACAACAACAAAAATCACAAAGCTTGGATGTGTTTGAATCGTATATAGGGTTGGCAGAGTCGGATGGTTTCTCTTGATTAAGATGGCGGTGGTTTTGAGGAAGTTCTGAAACTAGTGTAGCTTCTGGGTTTCTCTCTGTGTCGTGGTCATGCTGTTGCTTAACTCTGTCTCTGATGTTATGTTTGACTGTATACACCGTCAGGCACAAGAAGGGGAAGTGGCCATGGAAGCAAATCTGGGCGAACCTGGCTATTCTCTTGAACTGTCATCCCCTGTTCCTGTTGCTGGTTTCGTGAGTGTAACCCTTTATTATGTTATCAATTTCGTGTTTGTGCAGTTCTTAGTCGTCTGCTTTGTTTGCCCGACATCATTGTATTGTATATTTGTTATAAAACTATGCCTGATTAGTTTTCTGCTACTGCAGCCAAGAGCGACCCTTAAATTCCCGCTGGGTGAAGTTTCAGTGCAAGAGAAAGAAGAGGAGGAGGAAGAGGAGGGGAAGAACAGAACTTTATCCGTTGATGGAATCATCAAACAGCGAGTCTTGAATGGTCTTTGTACTGCGCAGTACTCAGATGAGGAATTGAGGCTCAGATATGCTTACAAGGTTTTTCTTCCTTCCGCTCACTATGTTTTGGAATGCTCCAATTCAGTGGAACTGACATCAGGGCTTTTGATTTTATCGTACAGGATGATGACGTGACTTTCATCCCCAGCATTTCCCTTCCGTCCAATGCACTATCGTTTGATTTCAAGCGTCGATTCAGCCCTTTAGACAAGTTGAGGTTAGTTGGCCGAGTATCTCTCACTCTTCTCGTATCGTTTTCGTGCAAAGAAAGAGGGAATCCGACCTTTGGTTTAGACGCTTTAGATTCATGATCACTTTTTGCAATCCCGTTTCAATATTTGGCTGCACGAAAGATGATAACATGATGGCAAATATGCAGCTATACCTACAACTTCGATTCGAACATGTGGAGTGCCGTGTACAAACGCAAGTATGGCAAGGACTACAAATTCAAAGCTGGTTACGATTCCGAAATTCGCTTAGGCTGGGCGTCTCTCTGGGTAAAAATCCTCGAATCCCCGTCTATCTTTTCTGCATTCTCTTACTGAACGACAGCTCTAAAAACCCGCGTCCTACCTCTCTTTTGGATCGTGATTTCTGTTTAAGTACTGCACGAAATGCCTGCAAACACCGGATTAAATAACAGAGGAGAGAGATCGGGGGGGGGGGGG